GCCAATGGGAGATCAGAACAGTTCTATAAAACCTGGTTTACTGGCATGACTTTATCTGTTTTTCAGAATATCATGACCTCTTGGCATCTGCAAATGCCTAAACGCCTCTATATATCATTAAAACCAAGCAGTTTTCTCTGCTCTTGAATCTTGTGTCCACTGCTGATGCCTTCCGTCATTGCCCCCCACCATAAATACAGTATATGGGTACGTGTACCTATATATGCATACATAGGATTGGTGTGGAATTTTATTTTACCCTCCCCTCACCCAGTCCTTCACTTTCCCTCCTGTCCTGATGGAATCCCTTCCAGGGTTTTATGCTTTCTACAGTCTGCTTCCAAGTCTTTTACCTATGGCCGGGTTCTTCTCTCAAGCATTCATTCACACACGAGATGATTTGTGTTTTTACCATTGACCATAACCAGCAGTTTATTATCTTTATCTTGCCTTCATTGGGTACCGCCAGCTCAAGAGCTACTTTTGCCCATTACAGGACAACAACTTGCTACATTCTCAGATTCCAGTGTCCTCGGCAGAACTCTCCTGGTTTTATAACTTTGATTGTCAATAATTACTGCTTAACGACTTCTGCATGCTGTATCATTTTCTGTCACTTTAACTTAGTTATATAGTTAGTCTGGCTGAAAAAAGACAAAAGTCCATCCAGTACAACCATAGAAAAAAAAAAGTTATAATCCTATACCCACAGTTGATCCAGAGGAAGACCAAAAAAAAAAAAACCAGCAAAGCACGATCCAATTTACTCCTGCAGTGGAAGCAAATTCCTTCCTGATCCCCTGAGAGGCAATTGGATATTCCCTGGATCGACTTTACCTATAAATGTTAGTATCCAGTTATATTCTGTGTATCTAAGAAACAATCCAGGCCTTTTTTGAAGCAATCCACTGAGCTGGCCAGAACAAACTCTTCAGGGAGTCTATTCCCCATTTTCACAGCTCTCACTGTGAAGAAACCTTTCCGTATTTGGAGATTAAATCTCTTTTCCTCCAGACGTAAAGAGTGCCCCCTTGTCCTCTGTGGTGACCTCAGGGTGAATAACTCTACACCGAGTTCACTATATGATGTATTTATACATGTTGATCATATCCCCCCTTAATCTCCTCTTCTCAAGAAAGAATAAATTCAGTTCCTCTAATCTTTCCTCATAGCTGAGCTCCTCCATGCCTCGTATCAGTTTGGTTGCCCTTCTCTGTACTTTCTCCAGTTCCCCAATGTTCTTTTTGTGAATTGGTGCCCAAAACTTAAATATATGCCATCTGGATGTAAACACATTTTCTGATGTAAAGCTATGCTATTCTTTAGTACTTTTGCAAAAACAAAATAAGGAATTTATTTAAAAAAAATTAAAAATACTTTTTTCTTTACACAGCTACTGGAAGTTTCCCCTCCATTCAGCAGTTATCTGGTGTTGTCCACAGCCTGGCTTTTTGTCATATTCGGACCCGGCTGAACTGTACGTTGAGGGATAGCCTGGAAGTGACGTTCAGGCACTTGAATCTGCGTGTTGTGTGTAACAGACTCCAGTTGTGGTAAACGTTAGCTGCATAGTGCTGTCCAGGTCCAGAGGCGGCATAATGTCCACAGCACTTGCCTGTTCTTAAGGACTCACTCAGTGGGGCTGATTTAGCAAAGGTAAATAGACTTTGCACTCTGCAACTGCATATGCTTCAGAGCTTGGTAAATGAGGGGAGGGTCTGCTGACTTCCATTATTAATTTGTGTGCAAGCAAAAATGCTGTGGTGTTTTTGTTTTGGTTTTTTTTAGTTAGGTTTGGTTTGTTTTTTTCCCCATTTGCAGGTGCTGTTGTTCCAGAGCTTATTAAAGTGCACCATCTATTTGCCTTTAGTAAATCAACCCCAGTGAGTAGGCCAGTTGGGATGAACACCAAGAGCTACCTCTTTTTTCATCAGTCGCATTGTTTCCTATGCTCACTACTTAGGAAAAAACCTTCTCTATGCAGCAAAAAGTTACAATCAAACTCTCACCAAAAAATGTTTGAGCTCCACATATATACATAAACACACATGTCAGGGGTGCCTATGTGCAAAAACGTTGGTATATCTGGCAGTATATACGTGTAGCACAATGAGAGTGAGCGTAATAATTCTAGGGCCTTAGTGAACCGTGACTTTAGAGCAGGGGCGGACTGACAACTCATGGGGCCCCCGGGCAATAGGGGATCATGGGGCCCCTGTGTCCTTGCCCAAACTCAAAAAAGCCTATGAAAAAGGTACCAGGGGCATCTCATGGGGCCCCCTACTGACCCCGGGCCCTCGGACAGTGCCCGAGTTTCCAAATGGTCAGTCCGCCCCTGCTTTAGAGTGAACTGTGAATTGACTATGGAAAATTTAGGTTACTGAAGTAATTGCTGTTTCACAGGACCACACAGCTTTAAGGCTTGATTCATTAGTTCTCTATTTACTTCATCTTTTATATTTGACCAAAAAACTGGGTTGCATTTGTGTTCTTCATTGGGAAGAATGTTCCTTACATTTGTGGTCAGTGCGAAGAGTCCCCCCTTACAGAAAGCTAAAAAAGATCATTGGTGTCAGTGGGAACTTATCTGAGAGGCAGAAATTGCTCATTGCTCAAGCTACCCGTAGCAACCTCTGGAGGAACACTGGTTAAGAAACCTTGCTCTAAAGCAAAGGTTCATGTTGTCCCATTATTTTTTTTTTTCCTTTTCACTTTGAATTTTGACAAAATGCTTAATTTCATGTCTATTTTTTTTTATTTGCACTTTTATTTTGACATAAAAATTGCCTAATGTGACAATGGAAACATGCTAAATTTTCATCCTCTTCTCTCACAAGTACAAATCACATCTGTTTCTGCCTCCTCTCAGACAGTGACAACTACTTCAACAGCTTCTACAACTCTGACAGCTGCTACCATGTCCCTCCCACCTCCATTGCTAAGACCAACAATTCCTTCTGCTCCTATACTTCATCGTCAGCCACCTCCACTCCAGCCTGGACGTCTTCTCCAAGCTCGTCCTCCACCTCTTGTCCGGCCAGCTCCCCGCCAGAGCCCACAAGCACCACCTGCTTTATTGGGCAATCATGCAGAGCCAGCTTTCTCCTGAGGGATCTAATGAATGTTCTGTTCATATACAGTGTGTTAATTGGGTGGGTTTATTTATGGGAGTATTGGCTTGGTAATAAGACCTGTGTACAGAATTGTCTGTATCTAACAGAACAGTATTGAACAAATAAATGGGTCTTGCGTGGAAATGGTGCTATAATATAGTCGTCCTAATAGCATGTGGAGTGATACATTTCAGCACAATGCCAATGATTTTTTTTTTTTGTACAATGAGGGGGTTCAGGGTGTTTTTGTCTACATATTTGACCATCAGTGGAAGTCTCTTCTATCGTGGATTTAAGACATCTTTCTAAATGTCGTTTTCGGTGGCACATGTGGTGGAGATTTCCAACTTGCACATTGACTCCTTATTGCCTACTTATGGCTTCAGAGGATATTGGATTAGAATCGTATCCTAAATTTTCTGGTCTGTGTCGGTAGACTGTTGGTGTGACCAATTTGTGTGATCATACTAGCATACGCATTCTGGATACGTAGTAGTGTTTTTTTTATCGCTGTGAATAATTAATTAATAAAATTACTTGTGTTTTTCTAATATCTGATCTCCATCTGAAGTTGTATTTAAACCACTATATCACTATTGTATTTTGTTTTTGTGTGTGTGTGTTTTTTTTTTTTATTAATTTTATTATCTTAATTGTGTAACTACTTTTGTCTTTGGCAGGAACAAGACCACATCTATAACCTTTGCAAATACAAAACTACTAATACTTGGAGCATAGCAGAAATATTTTTTTTAAATGGGCTTTCATTTCTAGCCACAACATGATTCCCTTACTGAACTCTTCGTCATGCTTCCTTTGTGGGACTAGAAAATTCCCCATGCTTGGACAATGCTGATAGGTGTAGCCCCACAAAAACTAAAGAACATTTGATTCATTTGTAAAAAAATGATATAATAAAATGGCAGAGTGTGATGGAGAGGTTTATAACTCCCGACCCTGTAGGCTCTGTCACCAGGTATTTTGGTGGAGTTTGTGATGGAGAAGAAAGCCGTTGGAAGCACTGGAGCAGGATCAGTGGGTTGGTGGTGGGGTGCTGGCTTTACAGACACTTGCGAACGGACAGTATCTCTTTAAAAATGTAATATGCTGCAAAATCATTTGTCTGGAGTGGATATACACTTAACTGCTTCCCTCCCAGCAAATGTACATACAAAGGCAGGTTCTTTACTGTTCCGGAGGTATCCATACTTCTTCCCAGAGGCCCGTATGGCATGTGACCCCTGGGGCATGAAGTGGCAAGTATTAGGAATTCATGATGCCTTGCCTTACTTACTAATGTGTGATCTCTGTGATTGGCCACAGTGATTTACATAGTACCAAGGCCAACCACAGTGGCCCCGTACAATGTAATGGCTGTGACCAATCACAGTAGTAAGCAAGGTTCATAAGTGAAACCTTTTGAATAGTGTTACAGATTGCTTATTATAGTGATCATCAAGCAGTGTAAAAAAAAAAAAAATCCCTGATCCCCCCTGAGTAGTACATTGTTAAAAAATTAAATATTGTAAAATTAAAAATCTGGTGCCAGAGCAATTGCACTATGGTGACATTGTGCCACGCTGGCATTGATCATGTGGCTGGCTGCTCTGATAACACACTGTATGTCAGTGCCACCAGCCATTATCTCTGATCATCGTTACAGCAGTACATGTCACCAGTCCAGTGCTGCCAGTCAGTGTCCCTAATCAGCTCAGTCCTCTGTGTCCCTAATCATCCCAGGACTCAAGAAATTTCAGTAGATCATGACTGATCAATAAATATATATACACACATACATACACGTTATATTGACAAAGGTATCAGGACAACCCTCCAACTCATTGGATTCAGGTGTTCCAATCACCTCCATGGCCACAGGTATATAAAATCAAGCACCTAGGCATGCAGACTGCTTCTACAAACATTTGTAAAAAAATGGGTCACTCTCAGGAGCTCCATGAATTCAAGTGCGGTACCGTCATAGGTTGCCACCTGTGCAATAAGTCCATCTGTGAAATTTCCTTGTTACTAAATATTCTACGGTCAACTGTTAGTGGTATTATAACAAAGCTGAAGCAACTGGGAACAACAGCAACTCAAAGTGGTAGGCTACGTAAAATGACAGAGTGGGGTCAGTGCATGCTGAAGTGCGCAGAAGTTGCCAACTATCTGCAGAGTCAATAGATAAAGACCTCCAAACTTCATATTGTGGCCTTCAGATTAGCACAACAGTGCAAGGAGAGCTTTGGAATGGCTGAGCAGCTGCATCCAAGCCTTACATCACCAAGTGCAATGCAAAGCTTCGGATGCAGTGCTGTAAAGCACTCCGCCACTGGACTCTAGAACAGTGGAGATGTGTCCTGTGGAGTGACAAATCATGCTTCTCTGGCAATCCGATAGGTGTGTCTGGGTTTGGTGGTTGCCAGGTAATTGCATGCCTGCATTGGGCCAAGTGTAAAGTTTGGTGGAGGAGAGATGAGAGAAAAGTGTTTGTTGTGTTGGATTGTACCATGTGACAACCTGTGACCAATCACAGCTCACACGGTAGTTCTCAATGGCTGCAAGAATGCAGCCAGAGAGAAGGAGAAATGATTGCTTTTACAGCCTTTATGGGGGTGTAAAAGCAATCAGTGTAAAAAAAAAAAAAAATTATCACCCCTCAAAAGTAGTACAGTATCACCATGGTGACACTGTACTGCTAGGGTGACAATATGTAAAAACAAAAAAAACATAAATAATAATATAAAAAAAATAAAATAAAAATGTAAGAAAAAAATGTTTAAAAATTATAATTTTTGGTTATAAACTAATTTGGGTTATTTTTATTTTTTTTTACTAAAAAGATAACGGAATACATTTCGGCCAAGATTTATGATGAAATATTATTTATTTGCAAAATTTTGTAAGAAAAACACTTTTTTTTCAAAATTTTTGGACTTTTTCATTTACATAGCAAAAAAAAAAATCCCAGTGGTGAATAAATACCACCAAAATAAAGCTTTATCTGTCTCAAAAAAAATGCTAAAAAATTCATATGGGTACAGTGTTGCATGACCGCGCAATTGTCAAAGTGTGACAGCGCTGAAAGCTAAAAATTGGCCTGGACAGGAAGGGGGTGAAAGTGTCCGAACTTAAAGTGGTTAATACAAGAGAGGATTTTGCTCGCTTTAGATACCGCAGCTTGGCATTGCATGCCATTATTAAGCTTGTGATCTACCAGAACTCCCAGATCCTTCTCCACCATTGATTCCCCCAGTTGTACCCCCCCCTAGTATGTATGATGCATGCATATTCTTAGCCCCCAAGTGCAGAACCTTGCATTTATCAACATTAAACCTCATTTGCCACATAGTTGCCCAATTAAACAGAGCATTGAGGTCGGCTTGTAAATTGGAGACATCCTGTAAGGACGATATTCCACTGCACAGCTTACTGCTGTATACCTTGCTGTATTTATTGCAATATGTTTCCATTTCATATGTAGTGCATAATTTTTTATAATAATGAAAAATGTTAATGCAAAGTGAAAATTAAATGGAATCTGAATCAATTTGGATAATTTGCTGTGTTATTATGTTATTTTGGATGCTTCAAACAACAAAAAGCCTAAACTATGACATTATGCCATCCAAATTAAACAAATGAATATCAATGAATTTGTCATTTCATTATAATTTAATTTGGATTCGTAGAAATGCGTTACAATTGTGATACAGAGATTCATATACATCCGAAGCTTTAAAAATTTCAGTAGAATTTTGATTTGTAATGAAAGAAATCACCCATGTCTAGTCACAGTCAAGTTGAAGGCATTTGTGGTTATTTATACTGATGTTCTATGGTATCTGTATCCCTCGATTGTTGGCTGTTTCTCACTGAACAATAGGTGTCTCTCTGTGCTGTATGCTGTCTAATTTTTTTAATGTACCTTGTACTTCTAGTTAGTTATACCACTGTTCCTGTGTTCCATGTTCATGTAAAACTCAGTAAATGCAGAATGCATAAAAAAGGTGGAATTCACAAAGGGACACACTTTAGAATTCCATCAGGGCACAACAGTGAAAAAAAACAGTGGTTGCTTCCAATTCATGTACCTGTGAGACAGGTACCTGAATCTGTCAGTGCCTGGCATGGAGGTCAGAGTGTCCATAATGGATATTCCGTCCTCATTGTGCACCTTGCTTGGGCCACTGCAGCCTTTACATTGACAGGCGCATGGGCAAGGAGTTTTGCTCCAGGGGTGGGCGGAGCCTGATAATAAATTGAGAGACTAATTCCCTATCAGGTCTGCATTACTTTTGATTGATAGCACATGGATCTATAGATTTTCAGTCCAATATCATCTTTCAAATTCACCTAGCTGTGTGCTGTAAATCACTTTGGCAACACCGCGTCATGTATATGGCAAATTTAAAAATGTAAAGGTACCCATGTCTCCCCAAAAACAATGCCCAGCCATGATCCGATTGCTCTCTCATAACGTCCAATAGTTGGGCTCCTTTTCTAAGCGACTCCAAATATTCTCCCATTATAAGTCTTTGGGAGTAGATATTATGGCCTTACAGGAAACACATTTTTCCCCTTCCTTTACTCCCAGATATATTCATTGGGATTTTCCAACTTGTTTTTTCGCTAATGCCTACGAAAAAAAGAGAGGGGTGGCGCTCTGCTTTTCTAAACGGTTATCATTCACTGCAACTAAAGTTTTAAGGGATAGGGAGGGACGATATCTCCTGTCGAAGGGTCATTTAGGGGGTAATATGGTGTCTTTTGTTATCTACTATGCCCCTAATACGAACCAGGTGGAGGGAGGCCAATCCCACCCCTAGAGACTACTCCCACTTTTTAAGGGCTCATAGTCATTATTCTCGTTTAGGCCATGTTTTCTCCCCTTGGACATGATCGCTAAGTTGCATTCAGCTAAAATTATATCGACACCTTGGTCGGACCATGACCCTGTACTTTTAACGCTTTCTAATTAGACGGTTAAAATGGTTAAACCACACTGGTGATTAAACGAGTCCTTATTAAGTGATGCGGCCTGTTGCTTGGAAGTGGGTGAACATCTCAAGACCTATTTTGCAATTAACAAAGCGGAAGACACGAACCAAGCTATTAACTGGGCAGCCCATATAGCCTCCGTTTGGGGTGCATTTATCCAGCTGTCCTCCGGAATTAAAAAAATCCTGTGACGAGTTGATCTTTATCAAATCTAGAGAATATGAATCGTTGGCTGCCCAACATAAAATTACCCCCACCTCGGATCTTTTATCTAAGGTGCATGTTTTATCTAAAACATGCTCGGCCGGAGCTTAACCTTTGCCTCACCACAAAGGTGGAAAAACAACTGCATTGAATGAATCATAAATATTTCATGTGGAGGGATAGACCGGGTTCTCTTCTTCCACGTAAGCTTACCCCCAAATTTACTCACTTAGCATTACCTAAACTCCAACAGATTGTGGCAGGATCCTCAGAAGATCTTTCAGGAATTTCACAATTTTTATGCTTCTCTATATAGTCCCCTGTGGCCAGCAGAACCCTCTTCTATTTGATCCTTCCTAGAGTCCTTGCTTGTCCCTTCCCTTACTGAAGCCCATAAAGAGCTTATGGAACAACCCATTACTTCTGAAGAGTTACTAAAAGCTATTAGATTATTACCGTTGCATAAATTCCGGTCCCTGATGGCCTCCCCAACCAGTACTACAAAACTTTTTCTGAACATTTACTTCCTCATGTGACACTGTATTTTAATTCATTGCGAGAGGAAGGTGTAGTCCCTTTAGATGAGCACAAGGCATATATTAGTGTCATTCCTAAACCTAATAAAGGTTCCACTTCATAGTTCATAATTATTGTCCTATTTCATTAATTAATTGTGACATGAAAATTTTAATGAAACTCCTAGCTGTATGCCTTCATTCCTTTCTGGCACAATATATCCATAAAGATCAGTCACGATTTATATTGGGTCATCAAACGTTGGTCCATATTCATAGATCTATTACCCTGATATTAGCTGCCCATTCCAATTGGGATGCTCCTCTCTCTAGGGCACTTTTACTTCTTTCTCTGGACCTTCATAAGGCCTTCGATAGTCTGACGTGGGAATATTTATTTACTACCCTGCAGGCCTTAGGCCCGAAGTTTCTTGCTCTGTTACATTTGCTATATGATAATCCCTCAGCCTAGGTCTGCATCAAAGGCTACAAATCCTCAGTGTTCCCTATCCGCAGAGGGACTAGACAGGACTGTCCACTTTCCCTGTTGCTTTTTGCGCTGGCAATTGAACCCTTGGCTCTGGCAATTCGGTCTCTGTCAGGAATCTGGGTATGACCAGAAAGGTGTGGACTGACACAGGCAAAACACAGGCTTCAGGTATAGTATAATAATACAGTTTATTATTAGCCACCCAGATATATATAAACGCACAGTGAACAAACCAACCTTCCACTAATCTTAGTAGGTGCAGGAACACAGGCGTAGTCAGGGCTGGAGAGGTGGAATGGTCAGGCCGGCCGTAGGGTTCTGTAACGACCGCCTGTGGTACCTCTAGCGGTCCTCAGGGCAGGATTCCCCAGGGCGCGGAGTCTAAGTAATAGACCAAACACAAATTCTTCCCATCGTGGGGGTAAGCACTCAGTTCAGCTGGTCACTCAGGGCCCCTGGCTCTGATGAAGAAGGTCTGGCCTTGGAGTCAACAGCTTACCCCCACGATGGGACCGCACTGGCCCTCTATCTCTGAAGTCCCTGACTTACATGCCTGATTTTATTCGCTGTTTGTGAGTACCTTTCTTTTTAATAAACTTCTGTTTACTGAGGTAATGCAAGGGTAGCGCTTCTCGTTTTTATGATCGCTTTGCGCGGAGTCTAAGTCCCAGTCTGCTTATTCACCAGGGCCCCTGATGGTGGGGATGGACTTGGAGCAGACAGTAACCAGGTCGCGGCCCCTGAGTACACCTGCTCGTCATAGAGGGATCCGCCAGAGGTATGTGCAGGTAGAAAGCCTGATGTGAAGAAGGCAGGTGGTGTGAGCAGGGACGGCTGGATCCGTGCAGGATAGATGGATGGCAGAGTAGTTAGCGTGGTCAGACGGACCAGGTCAGCAATGTGCGGGCAGCAAGGTACCGAAGGAGCAGGCAGAGAATGGTCAGGGTCACAAGCTGGGTTCAGTAACTCACGGGCAGCGCGGTACAGAGGATCAGGCAGAGAATGGTCAGGGTCACAAGCCAGGTTAAACAGGAGACGGTCAGCAGAGGTCAGGATCAGGCAGGGTCAGCAACAAATCAGACAGGCAGAGGCACAGGAACACAGGATACAAGATACAGGGGCTCATGGGAAACATACACCAAGGCCCTGACCACAGGCCTGGTCGTTCCTTAAATACACCTTCTGCAATCAGCCCAGGTGTTGGCTGATTGCAGGAGTGAGCTTCTGGCTGCTGAGAGCACCCGCTGGTCAGC